ACACAGGCTTCTGAACGTCCCATGATCATTATTCCCCTACTCTATCCTCAATAGGCCTTCACACTTGCGCAGTCCGACCGGCATGCTGCCCCACTCCGAGCCCTTCAAATCCAAAATGCCAGTTCTGTCTCCAGGCGCTCACATGCAACCAAGTGGCTCTAATCCAACATCGTCGTTAATTTTGCTTCCATGATGCAGGGATTTGACATGAGCAAATCTGCATGTGAGGCATAGGAATGGAGTGTTTAGCGCCGCCCGTATCCAGCGCGAAGTGCACGCAGCCCTATCGTAGCCCTGGAAACAAGCAACAAAGCCAGGTAGCAACAACATCAAGTGGGAAACAGCCTGGAAGAGGCTGGCTGGCAGGAGATAGGTGTATAGAACTCTAGGGGTTGCACCGTGCCCATCCTTCTACATCCGAGGTGTATGGCGGCTCACATGTTGTTGCTGGGGATGGGGCAGCTGCAATTACGCAACTGCCCCATCCCCCTGCATCTCTTGATGTAGGACACTGCTCGTAAGCGCCAGCCCATCCCTCCCCTATTGTTCAGGATGGGTGACTCCCAATTAAGAGCAGCTTCGAGTTGACGCAAGTTCCTGTGGCAGCTCCAGCTGACCAGTGGACCCCGCATGTGTATGGGGCTGACTCAGCCCCATTGGGACTGTAGCAAAAGCAGCGAATGCCCACAGTGTTTCTTAGCTTATTTATATCTCTTTTGTCTATTTTAGTGTTCATTATTTGCAAGTTTATCTCTTGAACTTTCCTGTCATACTAGGTGTGCTGTGTGAGTTGAGGAGAGAAGGGGGGCAGACGCATCAGGGTCTCTCAACAGCAGGTGACTGTATCCATATTTGTGTGCATGCTGGCTACTGGAAGCCACAGAATAAGTATAAAAGCTGACTTCAGCATTATTTGCTGGAGGGGGGCCTGGCTGGGTACGTTTCATTCTACAGCCGCTTTCACGGCACAACTTGAAGCAGGAAGCTGCTACAACCCAGGACATGTCGCAGCTTCTTCAAACTGGCCCCAGGACCATGTTCCGATGTAATCAGGACCCTCGGAGGCATTAATGGAGGTCGGATGCACTTTTGCTAATCTCTAATACGTCGTGTTCTGATTTTATTTCAGCTCCTAAATCAGGACCCGAGTTTAAGTGTGCACATTTTCCTTCCAAACAGCGTGGACAGCAACCTTTCCTTTTCTATTACTTACGGCGTGCATTGGCTCTGCTATTTTATGTTCAACACGTAAGTAACGCGCGAACAAGTCATTGCGTAATTTTTGCGGAGTCCTGTTGTACAGTTGTACAGACTGTGGGAAGGAAAAAAAGCTTTAGTGCCAGACTACTCAGAAGTATAGCTAAGCGTCAGCAATACTTCACCACAATGCTTCTGGCGTATACCGTCTCTGCAGCAGGTTCCACTGATTCTTGCATTATTAATTATCAATCAAAGGAATACAGGCTGGCATGTGCAGACGATGAGCAGCCTGAGTATGAAGAAGAATTATCGTCTTCAGTGCTCCATTCCTCTTTAGTAGCTTTCAAATAGCAGAAGAAATCCGTCTAATCATGGATGCTTTAACAGCTTTGCAACTAACGGACGACGGCAAGAACAAACGAAGCTGCTGAAGTTAGTGGCAGGTTGCTCATATTCAAGAAAATTTGCCTGAAAACAAAACCCTTTAAGAATATTTTGAATTAATTTTCCGATTTCAGCCTTTCTAATTCCATTTTCTCCAAGAACTCTCAAGTTTAAACCTGCTTCTGATGTGGTCGCCATCCACTGCAGTTGAATTTCACGAATTAAGGAACAAGGTGAGAGATAAAACTAAAGAAATAAGCACCTGAGATGAGTATTTCAATAATGTTGTTTTGAAAAAAAGGAAAATCGTTGCTTTTTCATTTTGTTCGGTCTTAGCATGAGCGATCGTCAAACGCAACGCCGAGCAGCTTGGTCCATGGTCAGTCTCCTACTTGAAATGAAACCAGTTTGGCTGAAAATTTCTCTGAAATAGATGGCAGCTCTCTTTTTATTTTAAAATGGAATTTGCGCCTTATTTATTTGCCTGTTTGCCTCATCTATTGGCGCAGACAAGAGCTTTCGCTCTTTACCGTCGCCAGCGCCGCCGCCTCGGCAGGCAAGCGTGTGCGCAGTGGCAGCGTTTGTTGTTGGAATTTTTGAGCATTATAAGTTGAAATCCATCAACAAATGCTTTTAAATTACTTTAGATTTTTCTAATTCTAAATACAGTGGAGCAATACTGCCGTCCGCCTGCAGGCGCCCATGGGTTTGCCTCTTCAACTTCAGCAGTCAACCGCCGCCGACACTTCTTCCGCTGTTTTCATTGATAGCTGCAAATTATAAGGACATTCTTGCACAATTTCAGTCATTTATTTCTCTAAAACCCCTCAAAATGGGGGGTACTGAGAACCCCCTTACCTCAGGTGTACGTACACCTGACGAGAAATGGTTTCCAAGAGCAGTCCTACCGGCTGGAGAGCCGCGATTGTGGGTTTTTTGCTTTCCGGGAGCGGGTGAGGCGAGTAAAAGCTAAGGCTTAATTTGTGCAAACATATCATTAGACCGCCTTATTCGTAGAGCAATAACAACATGCAACCCTCAACCCTAAACCCTAAACCCTCGCTTGCGTCCTCCCTCTGCAGAAGCGTTGAATCTTCCCCTCTGAGCAGCTCTTCTCAGCATTAAAGTCTCACGACTTCAAGATCCTTTGTTTTGCGAGGAGTGCAAAACCACCTGCAGGTATGGAGGCCTCCGTATACACCGGAGTGGGCACTTCTTTATCTCCCATGCCGAATCCTCTGTGTGAATTCGCACAAAAGGAGGGAATTGGAGTCCTCGGCGTTCAGCTGCCCTTCAGGGGACTCCGCAGAAAAGAAGAACACCCAAAAACCATTCAGCAGTCGGCAAAACTGGCGTTGCAAGCCATGAGGCCTCTGGTGCGGTGTACTGACAAATCACTTGACGATATGTTGGTCCCCTGAGTTTAAAAGCACGCAAACTGCAGTTCATGCACACTAAAGAACTAAACCAGAAAGCACAAAATTATCAAAGTGCAGTAGCCTTAAAGCTCCTTATTGGATATCAGCTGCGTTATTTAAACGACTACTCATCAGTTGGGTCAGTTGAAGTCTAACATACGCACGTAATCAGTGTATTATATAAATCGGAGTGTAGAGCTTCTTCTATATATATATATATATATATATATATATGAAACAGGTATACATATAAGCCATATATTATATATGTGCCTACATAAAACATTTAATTTCCTTGTTTGTTTGCGTTTATTAATAGATAGAGAAGAAGGGCGGCACCCCCTATATGCTCGTGGGCTATTCAATGGGGGCTTGGATTGCCTATGAAGTTCTTTGTTTGCTGCAACAATATCATTTGGCGCCCCCTGTTCATTTTGTTGCTGTTGCAATGGTTAGCCCCGACTTGCCTATACACCTCAGGCCTTGGAAACGTACAGCAAGCCTCGACACCCAAGGATTTCAAGTGCGTTTTTCAGGTGTACGTACACCTCAAAGGTGTATGTACACCTCACAGGAGACATATGACTTCGTGTTGAGCTTCTTTTTTCTCGCTGACTTATGCACAGCTGCAGTTTTCACTCTTCTTCTTGGGTTTGCTGGTCTTTTGCATTCAACGGCATATTCCATTTGCTGCCGCAGTCCGTTCATTCTGCATGTCTTTAGGGTTTAGGGCTTAGGGTTTGCCATGCTGTGTGCAATTGCTGTATTTTCTGACTCTGATTCTGCATGCATGCATAGCTGGGCTAGCTGCACGCTGTACAGTTTACAATTTTTTGCTATAGGAAGAGAAATGTTTGTCTTTGCTTTATCATAGCCTTTGTTGTTTTGGCTGTTTCCTCGCTGATGTTCGTTTCAATGTTTGTTCTCACCGCACATTCTGTGTTTTTTATTTTGTCAGTGTTAATACGACTACATTATTAATTCCTGTTTTAATTCAATAAATGCAGTTAATTCCTTCGTTTTGTTCTTCTGTAGGATCAACTCCGCGCCTGGAACTGCAACGAAATTCTATTTCAAAAAGACATGTGGGCAGTGTACGAACCTTTGCTGCGGGCTGACCACAATATGTTGGATGAATACAAATACACAGACCTGCAGAAGCCTTTGAGTGAGTTGGCTGCTTTTCGGGGCTGCTGCGGTGTACGTACACCCCAGCAACTACAGGCAGCTGACGGGATGTACGTACACCGCAGCAACACTAGTGGGGTGTCTACTTACAGCGTAAAACCACTACTGGGTGTACGGAGAACTCAATCCAGCAGCAGACAGAATGGCAACGCTATTAGGGTGTACGTACAGCTGAGCAGCAGACCACTACTGGGGTGTACATACAGCACAAGAGCAGGAAGACAGCAAAATGGGGTTTGTTTATTTGCTTGCAGATGTTCCCATTTCTGTTTTTCGTGGGGACAGAGATAAACAGCTCGCTGATGTGTCTCTCTTTTCTGGCTGGTTTAACCTCCTGCGCCATCAAAACACCAGCAGCAACAGCAACACCAGCAGCAACACTGTTGTTTCAATCCCTGGGGACCACGGGCTGGTGTTCAATGCAGCAGACCGCGCAGCATTCTTCAATAAAGTGGTGGAAGTGTTGGACAGCGTCTTGCTGGGCATAGAGTACGGCCAGTGATAGCCGCGGGGTGTACGTACACCGCAAGCCGCAGCAAACAAAGGAAGGCCTTCTCTTTGCTTTGGTTGCGTTCACTTATTGATAGACAGCACGTTTTTTAGTTACACTTCAGGGAGAGAGCAAAACGCCGCAATGCAAGTTAGCAACACCAAGGGTAGGGTGTATATATACATATATATATATAATGTGCAAATACATGCATAAATAAATGTATCTATAGGTATATTAATAAATATAAATATATATACGTATGTATTTACATAGACACATAGGTATAGGAATGAAAATAAATATATGCATATACATTTCCATATAAGCATACATATGTGCATTTTATATTCATTTTTCTTTTTGTCAAAAGGACAAAAAGACATCAACACCGATGAACTCCGCACATTTTACTTTCCGTTTTCTTACTGCGAGTTGAGAAGGGAATGATTACCTTTATTTTAATAAAATAGTAACGCTGTTGATGACAATAAACAGATGGCAACAAAAACCAAAGGGGCCGAGACAACACCCCCTCAACGCCCCAATGCAACAGCTGCAGCTGCTGCTATACAACGAAGTAGATAAAAGCAGCAGCAAGGATGTTGCTCTTGTATACAATATACTCATATATAAACTACACATCTATACATATATACACATAAAGACAGCAGAGATGCAGAGCCAAATGCATTCTTCGTAAGACTGAGCTGTGTCGCGCCACTACGAGCAACAAAACTGGAAATAGTAAAAGTGACAGTAAGAACAGCAAAACCCCTTTTGCCTGGATGCATGGTTTAGCTGGAGTGTGCAGACAGCTAGCTATCTGCTGCTCAATAATGTTGGGTTCTTATTTGGCTTCCGGTTTTTTTTTGTATTTAAAGGGTTAAATGAAGTTCGAATGGGAGTTTAATGTCTCACAAACACTTCAACTGTCTTCGTGGCGAGAAGCCTCAATGCATAAAAATGCATTTGCATGCAGAGGACTCTCCTCTGCATGCAGCATTCTCGCTCTGTTAAAGCGATATATAAAGTGCCTGTTTATGTTTTTCTTACGATCAGTACCACCCTATGCATGCACGTGTAGGCACATGCATTTAAAGCCCAGCATTCTTCTTGAGTTTAAGCTGTCTGTCTTCGAATATAGAAAGACGAATGCCTTTGTCCTTCGGTAGAGAGACCATGGGTTTATCTCCCTTTCCGATAACAAATACGTTATTAATACGAGTTGCGAATTCATTACCTCTTGCGTCGCGGATATGAACGATATCGAAGCTTCCTAAATGTCTGTCTCTGTTTACTATGGTACCCACACGCCCTACGTTATGCCCTCCAGTTATCATCGCCAAGTTCCCTACTTCAAACTTGTACGTATCCAAAATCTAAAAACAAAAAAAGACAAAAACACAATAAATCGCGCAATATAATAACGGCTTATCTATGTATCATTATCTACAAAATTTATTATACATATGGTATCTATTTATGGGGAAGAAACACATCCCTCACGCGCCCAATTCTATCTACCACCCCAAATAGAGATAACATGAACAATAGCTGAAATAATAAGCGAACACAAAATACATACGTAATAAAACACCAATATTATAAACCATTCGATGCGAAGACACCAAACCCCGAAAGACAAAGCATCTACATCCTAAAATTCGAAACGATAGAACGCCAACACCCTAAACCATGAGCCAGTGAACGCAAAAACCCTGAACCCTGAACCCTGAACCCTAAACCCTAAAACACAAAACATGCGGTCACCAACTCCACCAGAATTGCCAGTCAAGCCAAACAAACACAAAAAAAGCATGCGCATACACCTTCACAAGTATAAGAACAACAGCAACAACCAACAACAAGCAGAATACTGCAACAACACCACGCACTAGGTGCTATACCCATTAAAGCATCATTATCAACGTCAGACATATACGCAGCAGCAGGAGGAGGAAGTACGAAAAAGTGAGGGGGAAGAGGCGAGAGAAGAAGCAGAGTGAGGAAATGAGAAAAAGAAGAAAAGAAAGAAGAGAAAATAAAAAGCGAAAATAAGAATAGAAAACAGGGAGTAGAAAAGAAGAACAGGCGCCAAGAGGGAGAAAATGAAAAGGAGGAATCAAAACAAGAAGGAAGTGTTAACAGCAAGGTAAATAATACTAATATTCTAGTATGATAATAATTAAGATAAAAATACTCTGTTTACCTTTGAATCGGCGATATTGACGCGAATAGTATCATGAACTTTGATATTAGGGTGGGGAAAGCGAATAGTTCTGGCGTCATGGGTAACGAGTACAGGTACAGCTTTAGGCCCGATGATGACTTTCTTTACTTTGCAAAGTTTATAAGAGGCTTCTTCTGAAGATATCGGTCTGGGAACGAAGCGCCCCTTAGTATCGAGCAGCAAACGAAAGTGCTGCTTCGTCTTCTCTAATGAAACAACATCCATAAACCCTGCTGGATAACACTGATCTGTCCGCACTTTCCCATCTACTTTTACCAACCTCTGCATCACTATCAACTTCGTCTCATGGTATGTCAGTGCATACTTCAATCGATTGCGCAGCAACACAGCCAGAGGTAGACACTCCCTCAGCTTATGAGGACCTACAAACAACAATGTAATGCTAACAAAATTAAATGAAGTATATCCACCAACAGCAAGTCTAGCAGCGCATGCAGCAGCAGCAGCATACAAATACAGATATTAAAACATAGGTGCAAGCAGCGAGACGAGTGGATGCAATATTTAAAATGAGGTAAAACATCCAATCTTTGTTGAAGACAAAAAAAACAGAAAAAATAAAGCAAATAAATAAAAACACGAAGCAATGGGCAAAACAACTGAATAAAAGACAAGAAAAGGCTGCTATAGAATGACAATTATTAACACAGAATAAGAAGATATAGAACAAAGCAGCACACAACTCAACGGAATGGAAGACAACACACTATTATACGAGATACCTCCATAAAACAAAGCGGAAAAACAAGAAACGAAACAGTAGAAATGCACTAACAACAATCCGCATCTATATACTAATACATATTCCTATATAAATACGCATGTATTATATACACAGCTATACAAGTGCACCCACATACGAATGAGCCGCCACTCATACATACGCCACTCATACATATAAATACACCTCACACCCTACGCATCCATAGATGAATATAAAGATGAATATAAATACACAATCACTATGTATATGTGAATATAAAGAAGAATATAAGTATACATTGGCTTATATTTGTTTCAACTGCCATTTCAATTCTTCTTTGTTACCTGGTGAAGGTCGTGGCGCATAGTGCCCCGTTATTTTATTCAACATCCAGTGGGAAGGAGCGGCAAGCCGCTTCATGTGCTTCTTTGGTCCGCGCGCCTGCATGCAGAAAGCAAGAGAGGAAAGGAAACAATGCAATTGGAGCGAAGCAGATTAACATATCAAGACAAGCCACACAAACCGCTGAACAGACACGCATACACCTCAAAACAAACGAGAGAAAAACAGATTTTATATTGTACATGCTATTCATATGTATGCACGCACATAGGAGATAAACACAGACTCATACATAACTATATATATGGGTATGAATGCACGCAAGATACCAGTGGTAGGCACGTGCATGACGATGATAATCCACTCCGCTCGTGAAGTTGTTGCCCCAGACACAATACACATAGAAGCCAAACAAACAGAGAGAAAAAAGAAGAAGACGAAATCAACGTTCCGCATGCATGCACTTGATTATTACCGCTGCCGATCCACAACAACAACCTCCTGGAGTGCCATAGAAGCAGCAATCTAAAGCTGCAACCGCAGCCTTTTTTGTCTACAACTGTACTATTTGCGTCGATATTTTAAACGTAAGCACACAAAAAGCCAGCAAACTGTGAAGAATTTATACCGCAGCCCCGCAGCATGCGGTAGTGGGGTAAATGAGACCTTCTGTCAGCAGAGCGAAAACAGAACGAATCCGAGCCCCACCGCTCAGAAACCACTAAATAAAGTTTGAAATTTCTGCTTTAAAACAAACAATTGTTCTAATTCCCCGTCGAAAGATGCAAAAACACCCAGTCAGCAGCTGAATCCGCATCTTGAACTGCTCTCCGATGTGTTTGCTCCCCACGGTAAATAGGGACACGCTCGTCAGTCTTACCATCTTTGCCGGCGTTTATGTCCAGAAGTACAAACAAAACCGAAAAAGAGGACGACAAAGGCACATAAGCTTCCCGTTTTCCTTTCTCTATGCAAATATCATGCCCATCGCACAGCCGCAGTGTTGGGGTGTATGTACAGCCCAGCCCCGCAGCTGCTATTCGTTTCTTCTGCCAACCCTCAGCATGCATGCATATCGAGTTCACTGCCTTCTCCCCGTATTATGCCGTTTAATTTCCAATTATTATCATTTTTTGCTTCTAATAATACATTTTAACTACATTTACACAAAAAATTATCTCCCACTCAACTACTGCTCCTTGCCCGGGCCTGCCCCCCGTTGCAGGGAACATGCATTCAGCTAAAGCTGCACTGCGTGCTGAAATTTATAAAGTTAGTTCTTTAAGTGGCATAAATTTAATTATTTTAAATATAAATACCATCCAGCTAGATGCCTGCAGAGCGGTGGGCCCTCCTGAAGGGGCTTATCACCCACATCAGCAAACGACAACTCTACTGCACGATAATACCCCGGTTTTATCTTCATAGTATATGAATATCTCTTTTATTATTTTGCATTATAAGGACCTTTCCTCTGCTTTTTGACGAATAATCAGCCTCTGTAGATACAGCTGAAGACTAGCCTTGACCTTATACCATAATCAACGGGCGGTTTTAAAAAATCAAGATCTTAACAGGGGACTGGCTGAGTAGCAGCAGAGCTGAAATACTTTTAAAGCAGGTGAACCTGCTATATTACAATAACGATGTACCTGCTATATTACAACAACAATATACTTATTTTTCTATCTATAATTGTGTCTGCAAACGCTGTATCAATGAAATCGGGGCAGAAGGATGAACTCAAGCCCCTTTTGACTGCAAGTGCATTTTTCTCTTTTTCATTGCGTTTATTTTGTGTATGATGTTTTAAATTATCTGCTGTTGTTTGTTCCTGTGATTCTCCCTGAGTTGTTTTCTTCTCCCTTTTCTCCTGCATTGTCATTTGAATGAATATTTATTCGCACTTAAGGACGTAATTTGCTCTAGAGGAGGCCTATTTATAGAAAAAACAAACCAGGTGCAGACGATGCATATAGAGCGAAGGAGTGCCTTTTTCTGTTCTTAAAAATAGATAAAAAAAGAAAGGTCAAATATTTCAAAAGCATAAAAAAATTAAAGAAGCTACTGTAGTTAAACAAGACCGTCTAGCCAATGAAGAAAACAGATATATTCAAACAAATTATGCTCACGGTGAAGAAAGAAAGAAACGCACAGACACATCAGCTGTAGGTGCACCTGTGAAAAAGTATATGAACGGGATATGTAAAAAGGATATATATTTGTATTTATATTTCTTATTCTCTTAAAGTCTAGAGATGCAAACGAAATGTCTTCTGCGGGGGAAGCAGATTCAACTTTCACTGCATGCGTGGTATTAACACATACAAACGAATACTTGTAATGTACAAATACAATTATATGATTAATGCATATTTTATTTAGATTGATAAATAAGTACATTAAATGCAATTATTCATATCTTTTTACTTAGTTGTACATGAGGACCGATACTGCAGGCACTGTCTGTGTGGCGGGGTGTATGCAGTCCGGGCGATGAATAAGGAGTATCATTTTATTACATAAATAAGAACAACTAAATAAATCAATATAAATGATAGGCATTTATGCACGTAAAAGCACACAGAGAGGTGTATACACAAGAATAAGTCCATATGCACCCACGGTGATAGACGGCTGCATGAATGTGTGACCCTATATATATATATATATATATATATATATATATATA